TCAACCATATGTAACACTTATGATTTTATGTAGTTTGGAAGATCTTAAATACATAAAACATAAAGTCTGGCAACGCCTAATTGTCGCAATATATTTTTTAATACTAAGTATTTTTAACTACGTTAAAACGTAACAATTGATAGATTACAACATTTTTTAACATAATGGTTACTTGATCAAGTGTTCAAAATGTGCTCCAGGTGAGTTGACAGTATCCTAATCGATGGTAGAATGCGTTTACCACATTTTTCCATGATTGTCTAAAAATTATTCATCGATATTTCGTTGTCTTAGCTCTGCAAGACTTGCTGGTTTAGTTTTGTAAACTAGATTTTTCAAGTATCCCCAATAAACGTGATTTTTCAAGTATCCCCAAAGAACGTGAACGTGGAGGCCATTCAATTCTACCTCGTCTACCAATCCATCGTCCGGGAAATACCTCTTCTAAATAACGCTGAACATTTACACCAAATTTTGTAAACTTATGACAAGCAATTTACAATTTACGAATTACGAATTTACTAGATAGATACCGATCAGTTAGACCGAAAATAGTTATGAATGACAACAAAACTAGATATAATGCAAGTTTTGTTATCCACATACATCCTCAAACAGAGTTGCACAAGTACATGATTTAGGTCGATCTTCAGTCTTACGTGTATTACATAAGAGTATTTTTAAACGATACAAAATTAACTTATTTTAAGAATTATGTGAAGATGACTTCGATCGTAGATTAGAGTTTATTGAGGTAATGATGAATAAAATAGAAAAGGATAAAAATTTCGTTAACAGAATATGTTTTTCCGATGAAGCAACCTTTACACTGTGTGGAAGTTAAAACCGACACAATTTAAGGTACTAAAGTGACGTAAATCCACACTGGATGCGTGAAAACTAAACTGAAAGACCACAAAAATTAAATGTATGGTCAGGTATAGTAGGTACTCAGTTAATTGGGCCATTTTTTATCGAAGGAAATTTAACTTCAGATAGATGCGAAATGTTACTTAGAACTGAAATTGTACCTACACTGATGGTGCCAATTTTAATTAGATATGGGCAAGATGAAGCTCCAACTCATTTTGGGGTAAATGCTCAGGGATATTTAGAAGAGATATTTCCAGGACGATGGATCGGTAGACGAGGTAGAATTGAATGGTCTCCACGTTCAACTGATTTCAATCCTAAAGATTATTTTTATTGGGGATACTTAAAAAATTTAGTTTTCAAAACTAAACCAGCAAGTCTTGCTGAACTAAGGCAACGAAAAATCGATTATTCTCGAATAAATTCTAGACAATCATGGAAAAATGTGGTAGACGCATTATACCATTGATTAGGGTACTGTCAACTCACAAATGGAGCACGTTTTGAACACTTGATAAAGTAACCATTTTGTAAAAAAATGTTGTATTTTATCAATTGTTACGTTTTAATGTAGTTAAAAATAGTTAGTATTAAAACATTTATTGAGACAATTAGGCGTTTCCAGACTTCTGTTTTATATATTTAAGACCTTCCAGACTACATAACATCATAAGTGTTACATATGGTTGAACTCGTATTGAAAAGGAGATTCCAATAATGAGTGAATATATAGGGTGATGAATTTGAAAAACCAAAGTTGTTAATAACAAGAGAAACGACAAATCTGGCAACATTGCATATATCAAATATGAAATCTCCGTATCCCAAAATAGGTGTACCTTGAATTTTGTATAATTATATCTGGTAATTTACGAGATAAATGGCCGTTTCCAGACTTTTGGGCCACTCTGTATAATGATAAAACTCTATTGTTTAAAATAAAGTAAATAAATAAGGTTGGAAATAAAATAAAAGTAGTAATATATTGTACACAGTTTAATGTAATAATACAATCTTGCGATTAACAACTTATATTATAAGTATAATAGTTAGGCACTTCGAATCACAAAAAAACATAAAATATTATATTAATCTTACGAGAATACCCAATTATTACAAAATGCGTAGTACAAATTAAAACTAATATGGTACTAATAAGATAATTTACGATAAAGAACAGTTATTAAATATTATAATCATGTCAAAACTAGACAGTCATTTGAACTATGTAACTATCAGTCTTCAAAGTTAAGATTCAATAACATAAACAAAACTCAATAATATAAAAAATATACAATTAGTTAATCAAATAGAAAATATTAGTATGAAAATAAAAAATACCAAAACTACAAACTTTCGTAAAAACCTCTGTAACGAAAGTAGATTCTGTTTTTTCCCTTCGGCTAAACCAGGTTTTATATCGAAAGCTTTCTTAAGGCGGAAGGTAATATCACTCTTTTTTTATTACAACAACCCTTTTGAACACATTTTAACGGTATTTTTTTTTATCATCTTTCTGTAGTACAAAATTTATTTGATTAGCAGCAGCTTTTTAGTCACCAATATCATCATAATACATTTTATTCACATAATATAGGCTCGGATTTCTGTCGTGCGGCTTATATTACACCAATGAATCCTTCAGGAGTATAGATAGGTCCAGATACCAACTGCCTTTTTGTTTGATGTTCGATTTGTGAGTGAACCTAATCACCCTCGTTTTGGGTATGGCCCTTAATAAGATATTTATTGGTTATTGTTTCAATATTATGGTATTTTTAAACAGCATATAAATACATAGCCATCATAAATTTATTCTTTTGCTGTCCAGCACAATTGTCTGAATAAAACATGACGTCAACTAGCTTGTCCCCATATGAAATTTTTTGAACGTATTTAAAAACGTTAGTTGCAATCTCATTAACACTTCTATGTTCCTGAGATTTGTCCCACACATAACTTTCTACAAAATGAGTTTTCAGATCAGAGTAAATTGTTAGGTTCTGAACATTTAATTTTGACTGAAGTTAAATGAATATCTAATATAGTTTTGCTTCCATCTATGTAATGTCTTTTAGAATAAAAGCTTCGATCAAAGCTTTTGCTGCGGTTTTGAGTGCATCATCTACGTAGGCATGATTGGAGTGACATATAAAGTGTTTGCGTAAAAAATTTTGGATACTCTGATTTTAACGTCATTTAACGTAAAAAAGGCATTATTTCTATCTCGTTTTGAAGCTACCATACCATTTTCATAGATTCTAACATAACGATGCGCTGTTTTTACTTTTTCCATTGACTGAAGTATAAATGACCATTGTATTTCAACATTTCCCAAATTCCAGTAATCATTTAGAAGATCTTGTCGTTGAGTTTCCGTTATATTGTATCGGCATTTTAATTTGCAGGTTTCTTTGTGAGGTGGTTTAAGTTCTCGTTTAGGCATTTCTTTCTTGATTTTAGATGATGACAGGTTCAGTCGATTTTAGTTTTTTTTTCAGATAAAGGGGTTGTTGAATTCTCATGTTCAATATTAGATAACAGATTCTCTTGTTAAAATATAGATGGTGGGTGATAAATTTTCATACACAAATACATATGATGATGAACTTACATGTTCAAACACAGATGGAGATGAAATACACAAATTTTCAGGTAGTAGTGTTGGATCTTGGTAATCCGGATCTTTTACTGAGTCATCACTATCTGCAAAGATGTAAAATAGAAAGTGGGTATTTTAGTTCTTTAGTAATTAATATTTAATCCACCTACCTTCCTGAAAGGATGACGATGGCACTAAGATATCACTTAATTATCTAAATTCGACCATGAATTGAATACATATGCATCAGAACTGAATTATACACTATGACTAACTCTGAGTCGTGTCTTGATTCTCATTAGAATAATTTCGGGTCTCATTAATACATCCTATGTTCTCATTGACAATATGGTCAGAATTTCGGAAATCATCTTCGCTTTTTCTGTGCTACTAACTCTAACATTAATTTTGATCTCTACCCGATCTGAAAAATATAAAACTAATAAAATCTTACATTCAGCATCTACAACGTTATAAGTTTAAATAAATATACAACTTAATCGCGAAATATTCTGAGAAAAGAGTATACCAATAAATAAACCAAATCACATATTGCCAAACAGCAAATACTTTATCATCTTCAACGTTACTATTTAAGTTATCACAGGTAAATTCATTATTTTTGCATTAAAAACGTGATAACAAAAACCTAACACATTCTTTTTTATCTAAATTTTACAAGAAAACTGTGGTAAAGTGATATATATCATATTGTCGAAAAAAAAAACAAATTATTTGAAATTACACTTACCTTTTCACCAAAAACGTTATGTTCAAATATCACGTTGATTAAAAAAAATGCGAGCACTTCCTTCTAACACTAACAGGTAATAACTGAGTTGTTTCTTTGTGATAAATTGTGATATCTGTTGTCTTTCTCTCATTGTGGCGCCAATTTTAAAGTAAAACTACCATAGTTTTGATGGTAAATACATCGCGATACGGAGATTTTAAATTTCTATGTTAGAAAAAAATGCAATTTTCCAAATGTCACGGTGTCGTCGCAAATGTATATATTTAAATATATATATATATATATATATATATATATATATATATATATATATATATATATATATATATATATATATATATATATATGGTTAAAAATAGGTACATGGTTATATAAAAAATCGTTAATAACAACATAATTGCAATTCTGCTCAAAACCTGCAATTCACAAAAAACGTTAAAAATCTATTCTATCCTGGTAGTTTATACAAATGTTTCGAGAACATTTCGAACATATGGATTTGTGACACGATATGCATAAATATGCACAACCAGTCTAAATTCTTATTTCATTTGCTTTTCTTCTTCGTAAGCCTTATTTTTTGGGAATATTAAGGATCATTTCGATCAGCTCTTTCAGCTGCCTTTGTAATATTGGCATTTCATATTTTCTATGAAAATGTGAGGAAGCGAGTTCTACGGCCATGGTTTCTATAAATTTGAATCTAGTCCAATTATTTTCGGAAATCAAAGTAAACATAAAGGTGCGTATACATATGTTCGTTTGTAGCATGTTTGTTAGATTAGTACGTGTGTTTGCAAGAGGCGCACAAACGGCGCACACACGGCGCACTACGATCAACCTTCTGTCGGTTTTTCAACGAACGCTTTGGTGGTTTTCATTAGATATTTGGACGGGTTCATGAAAGGTTTGTTGGTTTTTGGAGCGTCTGAGTATTATAATAGGATATTACCTTAAAATATTTGGTAGTAATGGAGTGGTCAGAGGAAAATATTATCAAACTTGTTGACGCTTACCGTGGGAAATCCCTATTGTGGAATCCTCAACATAAGGACCATTTTAAAAAACCACTTAAAGCCGATGCCTGGAGGGAAATAGAAGCTGAAATAAATATACATGCTGACCAATGTAAAAAAAGGTAATTTCCTTGTTGTCTTCTTACCGGCGTGAAAAATCCAAAATTAGATGTAGTAAAGGTACGAGAAAAGGTACGAAAGTAAGTATATTGTTTGGAAATGTGAGGACCAATCTTCTGCAGCAGATTTTCGAAGTCGGAAGGCAACAGTCGTGTAAAATTCTTATATTGGCCACTTATTTCTTGAGACTTCAAATACTTCATAAGTTCGGAACCAATTCGTGTTTTAAACAGGTTGGTGAGCCACCAACGTCGTTGCTTCCTTTTCTTTTTGTACAAACTTGCCATTACCAAGAAATCACCACTCATCACAGAAATAGCGTAAGTTTTGTCGCGTGAAAGGGACATGATTATCTACAATTACTAAATGTTCGTCAGCTTTCTTTGGATCGCGTAAGGTGCGTCAAAATGAAAAATTTCAACGAACATTGAACGCGCCACGAACGCGCGGAACACACAAGGTGCGAGGTTCGCGGCGCACATATCTATACGCACGTATACGGCTACAGGAATATTTTACACACTTTTCCTCCATCGCGTCTACATCCCCTTTGGTCAAGTTGAAAAAGAATTTATTTCTAGTAGTCCATTATTTGCAAGTACTTTTATGGAATAATTCACGGAAGAATTTTTATCACAGCTTTATTTTTCTTAGTTGTGCGGGATAAAAGTGTTAGGTCTTTAGTAAATCCATAAAAAGTGTCACCTTCATTACTATTTCGTCGCGGAAGAAACTGTGGAAGAATTTCTTTTTTATTTCTTCACATTGTGCCAGCGTACGCGAGTTTATGTTGTTGATGATGATGATGATGTACTAAATTAACTGAACTAAACCAGTTGTCGCCAGTTACATTTCTATTAGTATTGTAAATATGTTTGATTAATCTTATAACGGCTTGAGTAGGTATGCTTATTCTTCTTTCTTTATTTGTAACGGTAAATTCATCTGAACCTTTACCAGCATAAATGTAAGGCATTATGTAAATACCCGGTTCGTGCATCAGGTATACATAAAAATTTTATCCCATATTTCCAGGGTTTGCTGGGAATATACATTTTAAAGCGACATCTGTCTCTGAAGCCTACCAGCATTTTGCCTAAACACATATTTTTCCCAACCATATATGCATCTTTTGAATTGCTTACAAATAAGTAAAATAACTCTTGGATAGCAGCAGCTGAATTATCCTTTGCTCTTTGTTCTTGGTCCGAGACATCGGACCAAGAACAAACCTTATGGCGGTCACCAGGGTCAGGAAACGTTTCTGCGACATAACTGCTCTAAATGTAGACCGTCCTTTCCCGTTCGTAGCAAATAGACTTCGTACATCCTCATGATTTGACTTTTAAATAGAAGTATAAAGAAGCAGTCCCAAGAAACCTCTCAATTCTATTTCATCAGTATCAGCCAACTCGGATTTCTCTTTTTAATATGATTGATATTTTGGCCAAAAAGTTGCTGGTTTTTCGTTAGTTCTCTTGACAACAAGACTATAATATCTGGTAAAAACAATTTATTAAAATAATAAACGTGACTAGTTGACTTTTCTGCTTCTTTCATATTAAATTAATACCTTCATTTTTTCTTAATTAAATCTTCAAAAAAGACGCACTTTTATTTTGTAATTACCAATTGTAATATCAAATGTAATACCTCAATCAAATCTTAATCAAGTTGATCAATCGAAACTGGTTTTATCTTTATTTTAGGCATAGGGATAAATGTGGATTTTAGCCAATCTTGAAGAATATATCTTATCTAAGATACAAGCTTTCTTCCTTTCTTCCTTTATACAAGCAATTTTGAGGGTTGCGGGTCGTTATCGGCGAGTTGTTGGCACTATGGTAGATTGTCACTCCATTTCCTGTGCGGTCGGAGATCCTGTGTGATCACCACTTGGTGATTTGTGCCACGTGATGACCCTTGCTATTATAATGATTTTTATCAGTCCTCCATTTCATTAATAAGACTTCCATTTTTTTTCTATTTAGTGTCCACTCATTAATACTCTGTACATTGTATTTTGTTCTAATCTCGTCATTCCTTATTTGGTCTCTTCTTGTTCCCACTTTCCTCTTCCTTTATTGACGCTTTTTTGACTTTGTCGATGAATAGATTAAATTTAATTACCTTCGATTAATATCCTAGAATAATAATCAGTTCACTTCAAAGTTTTTATCTTGCAAAGTCTGTTTGAAGATTATATCCTAGTAGCATTTTGAACTGATAAAAATGATAAATTTGTAATTCGGAAATAATTGACGAAAATTAGTTTAATAATACTACTTGGTGATTTTTGGGGTCCTTAAATATGAGAAATATGATAACGCTGGCTTCCTAGGTATGAAATCTGTTCGACAATATATAAAAAAAGGTGGTGATAAACTTTTTGCAGAAATCCATAAACTAATAGTACTTATATGGCAGAATGAATGGATACTAGAAGAGTGGCTGAAGGAAAAAATATGTCCGTTGCATAAAAAGGGTGATCAACTGGAGTGTAAATAGAGGCATTACACTGTTAGTATCTGCGTATAAAATCTTCAGCAATTTATTATTTGAAAGACTTGAACATTTTACAAAGGATATTGTTTGTCAATATCAATGCAGATTTACTGCTGGAAAGTCAACTACACATCAAATTTAAGCACATGGGTAGATTCTAGAAAAGTCACTAGAATATAACATAGATACATACCATCTCTAGATTGACTTATTTTAAATATTTATTTTAACTTTATTTTTAACATTTCCCCAACCAGAGGGCACAAGAAGCAGAGGACGACCACGAATGAGATGTATTGATGATATGGAAGAAAACCTACAGATTCTAAAGGTTAGAAGGTAAAGGAAAGTTTAAGGACAGGAAATTATTATAATTTATTAGCCATAACATATCGAAAACTAAACTACGAAAAAATTTTTTACTTACTTGGAATCTTTAATAACTCTTCAAATGTTTAATAGAATCTGTATTTAGAACCTCTGTGTTTAGATTTGCTTCAAGAACATTTATACGAGGTAATAGAGGATATACCTCTCGCCTTAACACAAAGCATGTGATTTTTACATGACGGGGCACCACCACATTATTCTTTAAAAGTTGATCAATACTTAAATCAATATCGTTTTTGCATTGATGGATTGGTCGTTGAAATGAGTTTGTTTGGCCACCAAGAAGTCATGATTTTAACCCTTTGGATTTTTCAACTTGGTCGCAAATAAAAGCATTAGTTTACAAAAAAATAATTAATTCATATTTAGAATTAATACAGACAATAGAAAAAGTTACGAATATCATTAAAAATAAGAGAAAAGTGTTATTTGATATTAAGAGATCTTTACGAAATCAGATCATACAGTTTATTAAATGTATTAAGGTATATGGTAAGACATTTTAAACATTTACTTTAAATGTAAAGTTTAATGTTTTTGGACTTTTTAAAAGCAACTAACTCAATAACCGATCGACATACATGAATCAAACACGAGTAACTTTTTTGTATAATTTTTTCGCTTCTTCATATTTTTCTATTATTTTAGCCATAGTTCACCCGAAGTGTAATTTTCACCTTCTATTAGAAACGTTAAATAAGAGTCTAAATTAGCACTCCTTATTCTAAAAAACGTAAAATTGTCAAATTGTGAAATGGAAATTGTGAAAACATACAAAATTATTGTGAAAATTAAAATCCATATTTAAACTTTAAACACACGGTATCTCGGAAACTAGTAATATTGTAATCAGGCATGTTGGGCAGAATATTCATATTTTGTGGTCTAGAAAATGCAACTCCGAGATTGGATACTATTAATGAATCACCCTGTATATAAAAAAATAAATATCGAGATCTGTTCCCCACGTGAAATTAACCGCTCTCAAAATATTTATTCCTTTTTCTATTTTTAAAATTAAATTTTCTATATGTATCTTCCACAAATTTTCTGGCGTAAAAGGCCACCTTAGATGATTTCTTAAATTTTTCTAATAGATTCTGTAATTTTGAAGCAACAAATTAATTTGACAATTATCACAATACGCTATTTGTAGGTTTTTTAATATTTTAAAAGACAGCCTTTACCAACATTAGATATTGGAAAAAATGCATTTTTTTTCACTTAATTTGAGTAGATTAAAAACACCACCGAAATTTTATTTCTATAGGTAAATATTTACTAAAAATTGGCTAGGTTGCTGGATTATTGCAGAGATGCAAACGTGGTCCTATTATTTACTTATTTCTCTTCACTATGTAAAGTGAAAAAAAAAATACTTAATTATGTGTGTAAAATACTGTCATTTACACTTATTATAATATAAACCTATCAACCAACAGCAGTGTCAAATGACAAAATGAACAATTATTGACTTTATATGTAGAATTATTTTAACCATACATATATTTCGTCAATTTTTGTATTTAAATTCATCTATAAATAAAAAATTCGAAATATTTTTTATACAGCATTTAATATAAATAATATCAGTACATTGCAAAATCAATAAAAAGTTAATTTTCTAGGGAGTGCTATTTGTTATCAACCATGAAGACCCAAATGACCAACTCCATGGCCCCATCCACCAAGTCCTAAACCGGCATGTCCCAATCTCAAACCCAAACCTAAAGCAGCAGGGGCGAGGATAGCACCATGTCCATTGGGGCCAGTTGGTCCTACAGCTCCATGTCCGTTGACTACACCAGCGGGTCCAGCAGCACCAGCTCCAGTAACGATTCCGGAAGGACCAGCAGCGCCGGCACCAGTAACGATTCCAGAGGGACCTACTGGGCTGTATGCAGGACGTGCAAGACCCAATCCCAAACCTAAACCTAAAGCACCAGGACCAGCAAGGATGGGGCCATGTCCGTTGGGACCAGTTGGACCTACAGCTCCATGACCGTTGACTACTCCAGCGGGTCCAGCAGCTCCAGCTCCAGTTACGACTCCAGAGGGACCGGCTGCGCCAGCTCCAGTGACGATTCCAGAGGGTCCAATTGGGCTAAGGGCGTGGGGGTGGACGAGACCGGCAGGTCCCAATCCTAAACCTAGACCTAGGTGAGAGGCAGAAGCGGTCGCTACCAAGGCGGCAAAAGCAAGGGTTATCTGTAAAAAATTTAAATTTTATAGTTAATAAAGTATATATTCTCATTCTAAATATTATCAAAATGCTTTTTTGCAAAATAATGTGTAACAAAACGAAATAGTTCTAAACCAAAATCCAAAGAAATTAAAACATTTCAAAAATAAGCAGATTTATAAAAAAATCTTATTGAAATCTTTGATAAAATGTATTTAAGAAACCACTTTAGGTTTTTATTTAAAAATAAAAACACTAAAAACTACTTTTTATTAATTGCCAATTAAATATTTTCAAAATGACGTACCATTGCATTCATGTTGAGCTCTTTCGATTAAGACACAGGATCAAACTGATATCGTTCATCTTGCACCCCTGATTTATATACGTACACAAAATATTAGAAATGACCTTCAATTGTATATGCATTGAATATATATACTGAGTATAATATGTTGAAAATATTTTTTACCGATATAACGGCTCTTGAAATTATTCGAAGTATGTAAATCTTACGGATTATAATGGTTTTGATTTTATATTTGCCTGATTTACTAGTGCAAATATATTTGAATCGCAGATTTTAATTGATAGAAAATACTTGATTCTTAATGTCACGTTGGTATTTTGTTATTTAAAAAAATCAAAACAGTGTCAACATTTTTTTTTTGCCTTAAGCTATTGTAATAACTTTTACAATTTCTTTTACTACTGTTGGAACTTTTATTAAACCCTTCCATTTTGGGTTATTCTATCTTATCTTTCTAACTAGAAATACTAAAATAACTGTTATACTGTTCTATTGATTCTGATTCAAACGTGGAAAGTTTGACTAAGTTATGCTCGAATGCCACAATATCATCATCATCATCATCTTCTTCTTCTACTTCTCCTTCTTCTTCTTTTTTTTATATAGACATGACTCTGTCTGTTTTTCAATGTGCCTCCAGTAAGTTGTCATTCCATCGTTTTCGTGGTCTTCCTACTGATCGTCTTTCTATGGAGGAATCGTCTCTTGCCATCTTTACTATTATGTTTGTTGTAATTCAGCTTATACCATCGTTGCATTCTACTCTCCTATTTCGAACCCAGTTTTTTATGTTCTCTACCTTGCATCTATGTCGTATATATGTACTTCTAGCTCTGTCCCATAGTGTCTTACCATCAATTTTTCTAAGTGTTTTCATCTCTACTGTTCCTAACATCCTTTTTGTCCTCTCTGTATCACATCTTGTTTCTGTCGTATGTCATTATTGTTCTGACGACTGTTTTGTTTTCTATTATCTGACCTTCCAGCTTCAATTTACATCGTAGTAAATTTGTTATTGTCGCCATGCATTTTGTCTTTGTTGGGGAAATTAACATGTTAAACTTTCTAGCGGTTATACTAAATCGGTGCAGCATACGTTGTAAATCATCTTTACTTTGAGAGAGTAGTATTGTCTCGTCTGCTTAGCAGATTATTTTAAGTTGTTTTTCTCCCATTTGGTATCCACAAGGAAAAAATTCCTGTAGCTGGCTGTATACCACGTATCACAAAAAATAATTTAAATCTTTGTATGTGGGTATATTTAAAAAACTCTTAAAAGGGCTACATTGAATAATACAAACAGACGTTTTCGGAATAACAATTCCATCATCAGGTTTAAAAAGTACAAGGTTCACATGCCTGAGCTACCAAAATATGAGGGTAAAAACCCTTTAAAATTTATGTTGTTACAAAAGATTGTACATGATGTTTTAAAAATATGTGATGCTTAAATTATATTTGGCTTCAGCTGAACTGAAGTTACCAGTTGTAGTCCGTTTGAAGAGGTTTACTCTCCGGACACTGGAACTCAAACCATGAGTATATGTTACCTGAAGCCAAATTTAATTTAAACAACACATATTTTTAATAACATTATATAGAATCTTTTGTAACAACACAAATTTTAAAGGGTTTTTACCCTCATATTTTGGTGGCTCAGGCATGTGAACATACAATCAATCATGATGATGATATTATGGGATTGGAGCATAACTTAGTCAAACTTTCCACGTTTGAATCAGAATCAATAGAACAGTATAACAGTTATTTCAGCATTTCTAGTTAGAAAGATAAGATAGAATAACCCAAAATGGAAGGGTTTAATAAAAGTTCCAACAGTAGTAAAAGAAATTGAAGTTATTACAATAGTTTAAGGCAAAAAAAATGTTAACACTGTTTTGATTTTTCTAAATAACAAAATACCAACATGACATTAGGAATCAAGTATTTTCTATCAATTAAAATCTGCGATTCAAGTATATTTGCACTATTAAATCAGGCAAATATAAAATCAAAACCATTATAATCCGTAAGATTTACATACTTCGAATAATTTCAAGAGCCGTTATATCGTTAAAAAATATTTTCAGCATATTATACTCAGTATATATATTCAATGCATATACAATTGAAGGTCATTTCTAATATTTTGTGTACGTATATAAATCAGGGGTGCAAGATGAACGATATCAGTTTGATCCTGTGTCTTAATCGAAACAGCTCAACATGAATGCAATGGTACGTCATTTTGAAAATATTTGATTGGCAATTAATAAAAAATCATTTTTAGTGTTTTTATTTTTAAATAAAAACCTAAAGTGGTTTCTTAAATACATTTTATCAAAGATTCCAATCAGATTTTTTTATAAATCGGCTTATTTTTGAAATGCTTTAATTTCGTTGGATCTTGGTTTAGAACTATTTCGTTTTGTTACACATTTTTTTACAAAAAAGCATTTTGATAATATTTAGAATAAGAATATATACTTTATTAACTATAAAATTCTAATTTTATACAGATAACCCTTGCTTTTGCCGCCTTGGTAGCGACCGCTTCTGCCTCTCACCTAGGTCTAGGTTTAGGATTGGGACCTGCCGGTCTCGTCCACCCCCACGCCCTTAGCCCAATTGGACCCTCTGGAATCGTCACTGGAGCTGGCGCAGCCGGTCCCTCTGGAGTCGTAACTGGAGCTGGAGCTGCTGGACCCGCTGGAGTAGTCAACGGTCATGGAGCTGTAGGTCCAACTGGTCCCAACGGACATGGCCCCATCCTTGCTGGTCCTGGTGCTTTAGGTTTAGGTTTGGGATTGGGTCTTGCACGTCATGCATACAGCCCAGTAGGTCCCTCTGGAATCGTTACTGGTGCCGGCGCTGCTGGTCCCTCCGGAATCGTTACTGGAGCTGGTGCTGCTGGACCCGCTGGTGTAGTCAACGGACATGGAGCTGTAGGACCAACTGGCCCCAATGGACATGGTGCTATCCTCGCTCCTGCTGCTTTAGGTTTGGGTTTGAGATTGGGACATGCCGGTTTAGGACTTGGTGGATGGGGCCATGGAGTTGGTCATTTGGGTCTTCATGGTTGATAACAAATAGCACTTCCTAGAAAATTAACTTTTTATTGATTTTTGCAATGTACTGATATTATTTATATTAAATGCTGTATAAAAAATATTTCGAATTTTTTATTTATAAATGAATTTAAATACAAAAATTGACGAAATATATGTATGGTTAAAATGATTCTACATATAAAGTCAATAATTGTTCATTTTGTCATTTGACGCTGCTGTTGTATAGGTTTATATTATATTAAGTGTAAATGAAAGTATTTTACACACATAATTAAGTATTTTTTCTTTTTTTACTTTACATAGTGAAGAGAAATAAGTCAATAATAGGACCACGTTTGCATCTCTGCAATAATCCAGCAATCTAGCCAATTTTTAGTAAATATTTACCTATAGAAATAAAACTTCGGTGGTGTTTCTAATCTACTCAAATTAAGTGAAAAAAAATGCATTTTTTCCAATATCTAATGTTGGTAAAGGCTGACTTTTAAAATATTAAAAAAACCTACAAATAGCGTATTCAATTTTTATTATCAATATATTTTTAATAACATTTTGTACAATCTTTTGTAAAAACACAAATTTTAAAGGGTTTTTACCCTCATATTTTGGTGGCTCAGGCATGAGAACCTTCTACTTTTTAAACCTGATGATGGAATTGTTATTCCGAAAACGTTTGTTTGTATTATTCAATGTAGCCCTTTTAAGCGTTTTTTTAATATACCCACATACAAAGATATAATTTTTTTTTATTTAGTATCCTTTTTTGTTCTTACTTTTTTATTATTTCATCTATAATCAGGTTGAACAATAGAGGACTCAGGGAATCTCCCTGTCTTATCCCATTGCCAGCTTCAATATGGTCGGTTATTTCTTCTTCTACTTTTACTTTTATTGTGTTGTTTTGGTAGATATTTTCGATCGTTTTGATTATTTCTAGAGGTATCTCTCTTGCACACAGTAAGTGGACAACGTCTTTTAATTTGACCCGGTCAAATGCCTTTGTAAGTTCCACGAAACATAGATATGCTGGTTTGTTGTATTCTAATGATTTCTCTTGCACTTTCCTCATTATAAATATAGCGTCGGTGCATGATCTTCCCGACCTAAAACCTTGTTTTTCTTCTGCTAGAGTTATAATTTCGTTCAATTTATTTGTTATCACTTTGGTTGTTAATTTTAGTGTTGTTAATAAATTAATTCTTCTATAATTTTCCGAGTAAAATTTGTCTCCCTTTTTGAAGAGAGGTATTATTATGCTTGATCTCCATTCTTGAGGAATTTTGTTTTGTTCTATTATTTTTTTAATTAATTTTTATAGTTGGTTGATCAGATCTGGTCCTCCGTACTTTAGGAGTTCATTCTGTATTTTGTCCTCTTCTGGTGATTTCCTATTTTTTAATTTCCTTAATGCTTCCTTTACCTCTTCCTTCTCAATATTTATTTCCTCGTTTTTCGTCACCTCTGGTGTTGGTGGTTCATCATCGTCACCTTTAGCAAAAAGGAATCGAAAGTAGTCTACCCATGTTTCGTTCTGAATGTGTTTCGTTTTTATTAGTTCGTTTATCTCTTTACTTTGTCCTCTGATCATTCTCCATATTTCTTTTTGTGTTCCGTAGAAATCGTGTTCCATCTCTTTTGAGGAACTCTGCCAGTGTTCCTTTTTTATTTGTCTAACTCAAGTACTCGTTTCATTTCTGATTCGTTTATAGTGGTTGTATTCTGTATTGTAAAAAGGATTTCTTCTTTTCTTCACATTTTGTCTTCACTTCCTCTCTAAACCATGGTGTTTGCTTTTTTGATATATTAGTGTTCGTTACTTTCCTCTGTGATTCTATTGCTGCGTTAATTATATTATTTGTAAGTTTTTCCCAGCATTCCTCGATGTTATCGTTTTCTAATATTTTATTTCCAGCGATCTTCTCTGATATTATTTTCCTGTATAAGTATTCCTTCGATTCCTTATTTAGTCCTTCGACTTTGATTTTTGTTTGTGTTAGCGCCGCTCTCTTGGGTGGGAAGTATTTCGGGATTATTCTTATTTTACATAATATATGGCTTTTATTTCATCATATCAATAACAAGCTTTTGCAAAAAGCAACTATTATTTCCAAATTTTCGACAGTCCAGGTGACAGAAAACAATTTATTTAATTGTATAGTTCTTTGCCACCAGAGCAGGTGGCACCTCTGTGCTCGAACCACTGAAAGTTGGAAAATTTTGGAGACATTAGTTAGACTGGATAGACTACACCACAATCATCCACACATAACCACAATTGACCGGTTCGAGGTTGTGAGCTCATACTTATATCTGGGATCATTAATCACAAACACAGGGTCATTACAAGATGAGATTAAACGTAGATGTGATCTAGCAAAAGTTGCCACAGCAAAAATGACCAAAATATGGAAGGACTGTCAAATTTTAAGAGCGATAAAGATGAGGTTGATCAACTGCTTAATATTCCCAATACTAACCTATGGATGTGAATCTTCGACTCTGATACAATCGGAGAGAAGAAAGATAGACGCCACTGAAATGTTCTGCTAAAACTAAAAGTTAGCCAACGACTCTCTAGTAAAGTCCATCTCCAACAATTAAAATATTTTGGGCATGTTATGAGAGCAAACACAGAAAACATGGAAAGACTCATAATACAAGGAAAGGTAGAAGGCCGAAGATCACGAGGAAGATCCCCAACAAGATGGATAAATCAAATTACAGGAATATGCCAAAGACCTATGCATGAATTAAAAGAAATGACCAGAGACAGAGATCTCTGGAGACGGACAATACACGACATCACGTCGACCACTACACTCCCCCTGGGGGGTCAGGATTGAAGAGAGAGTTAGACTTTTTAGTTTGAATCGGAATCAGCTTCAACGGCTGACGGAAGTAGAGATACTGAAATAAATGTTATATCGTTCTATTTTCTATTGATTCCGAGTCAGAGGTAAAAAGTTTAACTAATTTGTGCTCCAATGCAACCAATGTGTGTCAATAGGGTTAGAAGACCATTATAGTTTTTAGAGCAAGAATTAACAATACCCACGGAAGAAGCTACAGCTACCTAAGAAAAGGATTGTCAAACGCTAAGACGATTAAAACAAATAGAAAAGGTTAATGCGTTAATTCTTTTCATATTCACTCGCACAAATCGACCTCTGTGCAATACATGTATAAGGTCTTCTACTTTTTCGGAGATGTAGACATAGTATTCCTTGCTTCTATAAATAGTTCTCTGTGAAATGTTTTCATTCTGGACAATTCGACAGATTTCAGCTTTGGGTACCTGCCCAATCAACTTAAAGATACTATTTCTTATATCTAACTTATAATTATCTTAAAGCGAAAACTTTAAAATATATAACCCTGAACTGCCAATAAACAATGTTTGATTCCGAAGGCAACTTTATATTATGTTATTTTTGTTAATATTAAAGTCAATGAATTTTGTGCCAAAATTTGGTATCCGTTCAAAAAAGAATTTAATTAAGTTTCAAAGATATATAAATATTCAAAGCCATCCAAATTATGAACGTAAGTTGCCTGAATGAATCTGCATTGGCTTTTATAATACATTCGTCTTCATTTAGCACGCCATATATACGTATGTATTATAGAAGTATGTCTAATAAATAATCTGAAGTTTGATATTTTGTTTAGTAGTAAATATTGCATCAATTATACAGAAATAAATATATTCTAAGATTATTAAAAAACTGTCCATATAAAGTATGTATATTATGCCGTTAAGTCTATTCCAAAAACCCGTTACAATTTTTAAAATATATGTAGCAATATCAATAATCTTGAAGGCTAGATAATGTTGTATAAGTATTTAAACCAGGGGCGAAAACGATGTACTATCAGTTTGATCTTGTGTCTCAACAATCACCCAACATGAACTCCATGGTATGTTACTTTATTCTTTTTATTATAATCTATAAAAAACTGTAGATAACTATGAATATTTCTTCACGTGTCTATATATATATATATATATATATATATATATATATATATATATATATATATATATATAATGCTTTTCGCCATTTTCTGAGTTCCAGTTTTCATTGGTCTCGGTCATTCAGATGGTAATCTTCTATTCCTTTTGCTTTTATATCCTTGTCAACTCCCTTAATATCGGTCGACCTTTCTTTCGTCTGTCCTGCGGTATTCAGTTTAATACTCTTATTGAGATTCTACTGTCATCCATTCTTTGTACGTGCCCGTAATATCTTAGTTGGATGATTCTGATGTCGTCTGTTATTCTATGTTTAATGGCCATGAGTCTTAAGTTATTTTGTTTCCATTTTTTATCATTATTCATACGTGTTGCTCCTAAAGTCTTTATGGCTGTCTTCTGCAGTGGCCATATTTCGCTTCTATATAAAACAATGCTTTTGACAATGCTGTTATAGATTATGTGTTTATTTTCACTTAAAATTGTTTTATCCCACAGTATGATGTTCAATTGCCGAAAGGCTTCCGTGCGAAAAGCAATGTGCATCCTTGTTTGAGTTCTTTATCCATTACAAACCCTTTGGATATTTCTTGGCCTTATTTTACTCCTTCCTTCCTTATTTTACTCGTGTTGTTTTTGAATTTTTGCACTGCCTTGATTACATTTGCATTGATGTTTGTTTTTTCCAACGCGTTTCATAGTTTTGTTTGTGGTACACTGTCGTATGCTTTTCGATTTTGCTATTTCGTTTTTTTTTCCTATAAGTTGGCTAACTGTAAAGAGATGGTAAATAGTCGATATATCTGTTCTGAAGCCAGCCTATTCTTCGGCCTTCATATCACTGTATTCTCCCTCTATTCTCATGTTTATTAATTTTTCTTAAACTCTCTAGATCGTGCTTAACACTACTACTACTATTCCTCGTTAATTGTCACATATGTATTAAGCTCCCTTTTTATGTATGATTGATATTACCGAAGCTTTTCACTCGTCCGGTATATTCTCTCTTTTTATACATTTTTGATATATGCTGGTTAGCTTTCTGTATAGTTTGTCGGTTTCGTATTTTATTAGTTACGATGGGATATTACCTACATCTAATGATTTTTCGTTTTTCAACATTTGACATACTTGTTTTACTTCTCTGCTGTTAATCTTTAGTGGGGATGCTATTGTATTTACTAGTATATAAAAATGTGTTTGTTGCGTTTGTAGATATTTTTTTCTTTCCTCCATCAGTAGTTCCATTCACGTATACTATTAGGAGAAATGATATCTTTAGTCTATTCTTTTCGAGCAGATTTAAGTACTTTCCAGCTTTATGTACTTCTGCTACCTCCCAAGTAAGTGTTAATGCTAGCGCAGTTTTTCCCCCAGTATTTGTCTTTTTGGTTATTGCCCTTCATATCTCTATTTAAGCTGTTTGATAGTCAGTTTGACTTTAATCCATTTTTATCCAAAGATATTTTGTATATATATATATATATATATATATATATATATATATATATATATATATATATAATAAGGCTTTCTTTGTGCTATCTTTTCATACTTGCCCAACACTTCTTTTACTGCACCCTTTGAAAATTCTATTACATAGAATACAATATTATTGGCTCTATATTCTATCAAAGTTTCGTTCTTGAGGGTTTCCAAGTTGTACTTAAATTCCAGAGTTGTTTTGTTTTGCGTATTTTGCGTAACTGTTAATGATATAAAACGCTGGGCTTTTTGATGAGTCATGCGTGTAGCTGGACTCCACATCCTGTAAAACTTTGTAGCCTAGAAACCCTTACGGGCGATCATTGCCCTCCATGGGCTATCAGTGGTCATAGATGATGTTGACGAATGGCTAGTGGGAGCCATTCCAATAGTACACCACCTACATGTGTATTGTACTCTTTATTGAACTAATAGAATAAATGTCTAGAATTGATTATTGCACATTGTCCTCCTGGTAGTCTCGTTTCGCTAAGACCAAGGACATTCCATTTGATCCTGGTTAGTTCTTCCAGTTCTTCCATTCTTTCAGTTAATTCAGCGTACTTAGTGGCCGATTTTAATTATTTTTACAAATGCATGTGTTTTATTCGTTATTCTTTTGTAAGCTTCGTACGCTTGATGTGTCTTATTTGACATGTACTCTAGGTGAGCTTTATTCTTTTCCTTGCATTTATCCTTTACGTCTATACAGAACCACGAAGATTTGGCTTTTGGAGAAACTTGCTGTTATTTATCTTTTTATCTCCCAAATCTTCTTTAGCTGAGTATAAGATGCTTGGTTTAATTTTTGCCTTGCTTTCCTCAACCCCATCGGTTTGGTTGATACATGTTTCTGAATTTTTCTGCTATTTGTTATTTGGCATGAATATCTCGTTGTGTTGTCTTGTATATTTTCAATTTTATTTTTTGTGGTCTATTCTACAATTTTATTTCTGTTATATATTATATATGTTTTACATATTTATGTTATAATGTGTTTTATTCGGATTTTGCACAAAACTAGTTTATGATAGCTTCCTATCTCTGACGATGTTAGTGGCCTTACATCCAAAATTTGGGAAGGAAATAGCTCTCTATTTCAAAGAATGTAGCTGATTATAGATCTTTATACTCTGGTATTTTCAAAGTTATACTTGAGTTGTTCTTTGTCAGAAAAAAAAGCTTATTTATAAGCAATTTATTTGTACTGCAGAAGTCCGTCAGAAGATGATCTTTTTCATTTCTGTCATCCTTATGCTTTATTCCTAGTTCTCTCTTGGGTTTGTGTTGGTAATGAGATTTTTATGTTGGTAATGAGTATTGTATGGTACGGTTAAGGTGCATACAAAGGTGGAATTTCGTTTATTGTGCCCCAAAGGTGTTCGTAGAAGCTTTCTCTTGTATTTACATCTCTGTTGTTATAAGATTCATAAATTATTATCATATTTAAGGCATTGGCGTCTAGTATAATCTTTATTCAATCTATTTTTCAGAAGATAGATTGACAGTTTTATACTTGGTTTGCAAGTTGCTGGTATACTAATAGCGCGATTTCTTATTTGGCTCTGGTTTCTTTAGCAACACCACTATATAGCATTAAGTAGCTATCTAACATAATTTGTTTTTTTGTCATTCTCCCTTTTTTTCTTCATAATTTGGTCTCTTTAAGTGTACAGATATTAATATTCTTCTCTTTAAGTCTCTTGGTTATTTCTTATTCTGGTTCGAAAATTTTTTTCTTTCAGTTCCTCTCCGTTTTCCGTGTCATAACCCAGTCTCTATGGGCAAATTGTTTATAGTCCATCATTAGGGTGCATTTTGTTGTTATATCCTAATGTAGTAATATCAATTCTTTTAAATAGATTTCATGTTAAAATTGCATGCATTATCTGTAAATCACCAACGTTCTCTTCTATCACAACTGCGTCATCAGTATAATATATTATTTTAATTTTTCTATTTTAAAGGTTGAATATTCTTGAACTTAATGAGCCTTTTTGCCTAAATCCAGTTGCAATTTCGATGAATTCGGTTGTTTCTTCCATCATTATTCGCTTGTTTCTTTCTTCCACCATTACTTCAGTTCTGTTTTGGGTATATTTATTTTCTATCAGCTTTATACTTTACAATAATACTAGTCAATTATATAGTCAATATCCAGCGTTTGATAGTCCTAGTTTGTTTAGCTAAGCTATAAAATATTCAATTGTTTGTCTGATTACAAAGACCACATCGTTACAAGATCTTCCGATTCTAAATCCTTGTTGCTCATCTGATATATCAAGAATTTTTGTTAATGTACTGGTTAGTATTTTTATTAGAAGTGTCAAAACGGAACTTATCAACGTTTATTACTCTATAATTCCTGGGATCTTTTTTTTAGCCTTTCTTCAGTGGAATCATAAAATTGGTTTTCCATTCATCAGCTATTCGTTTTAATCTTATGACTTATTCACATTTACCACATTTCCTTTTGAGATCGTTACTTCACGATTGAAATCGTTGAATGTGTTTTTTCCTGCATATTTCCTGTATTATTTTTGTTCTTCTTCGTTCTTCTTCAAGTTCCGCTCTTATGGGATATTGGAAATCATCCTGGCAATTATAATTTTATTAGTTACGCGCCTGAATAGTTCAATTGGTCTGCATCCAAACCATTCACGGAGATTAGATTGCGTGTGACGAGATTTTACGTCTTAATAAGTTTCTTCTGCCTTGCATTATATTCCTTAATAATTCGTATTTTTCACGTCTCATGATGTGTCACAAGTACTACAACTTCCTGGTTTTTATGTAATTTAAAGTTTCACATTGTTTTCCTAGTTGTTCGGGAACTTATGCGTTTGTTTTGCGATCTATCCATGATTTTTTGAGAATACGTCGGTAACACTTCATTTCGTGTGCTTCCAGGTTTTTAATATTGGATTGTTTCAGTATAAAGGCCTGAACCCCATATAAAAAGCAGAGAAATATATAACATCGAAGTATTCTTATCTGGAGCGTTATATTAATACTGCGATTACAGAACCGTTTTGTTATTCTATAAAAAGTTGACCGTGCAATTTCAACTATTTAACTATTTCTATTACCACATCCTAAATAAATTATATATCCTAAATAAAATTATATATGTATCAAACAGGCCTTCATTTTTCTATGCAAGTTTTGTTTTTCTATCGAAGTTTGGTCATCATCATAGCTATCCTGCTGTTCTAAAAAAGTCTACTGGGCTGCAGTTTTACCAGTCTAGAAGATTTCTCAGCTAGGAAATCCTCCTTCAGCCAACGTTTCTCTCACGTTTGATCTTTTGATCATAACATTAAGCATTTCCTACCTGTCACCCATAGTAATATGGCCCATGTGTCAAGTTCATTCATTTCTAACAATTGTTTTAATGACTTCGTAAACTTTTTATAATCGTCTTAACACTTTAGCATTAGTAACTCTTTGAATCCACGATATTTTAAGCGTAAGTTTATATAACCACACCTCAAATGCTCTTAACTTCTTTATTTGTTACATCTGTTATACAAAGCACGTGGTGGTCGTGTGTATTAAGGTATAAAAAAAAGCTTATTAAAAGCTTAAAATTTTTATATTAAAGAAGATCTTTTCGGAATTGACTCATTCCATCATCAGTTTACTAAAAGAGAGAGTAAAATACCAATATTAAAAAACAAGTAAGTTAAAATTTAAATATATAAAAAGAACACGTTGGTTTTTTACTACTTACATAAAAAGTTCTCAAAAAAAACATTGTATGGCCACATGAAAACATAGTAGAGAACTCCGTATTAAAAAACTATCCTCAAGGCGTTTATGAAGGTAAATGCAATAGACTGTTAATTTGTAGATTACTAAAAACTGAAAATGGGGACATGACCCCCTGTAGTTAAGGGGCATATAAGATGCCCCCATTTTCAGTTTTTAGTATCATGTATATACTATTACGAACGTAATAGTAATATATACTATTACGAACAGCATCTACTGCCTTTTTTATGTCGTTAGCACTCCACAATTTCCTCTTTTTGTCTCAGATTTAAAATAAAATAGTGCAAACATGTAACATAGCCCCCTCAATGTGGATGTAATATGGACCCGGGTTCATAATGCATATACATTCAGGGGGCCATAATAAATCAATAGGTACCTTATTAACAAAATATCAAAAACAAAAAAAAAATTATATCTATTGCAAAATGTTCATAGTTACCTTTAAAAGTCGATATTCAATGGTTTTTTACACACTAATCAGAGAAAGATAATGTTAATAACTGGTTTCTTTAAAAAAACAACATAAACACAAAAACGGCAAAAAGTTTTGTTAAGCACGTGAATGAAGCGACCTTTGTAAGTCGACTTAAAGGCTAAATGCGGTAGTTCTCGGGACCTAACAAGTTTCGAGAGATAAAGAGAGATGTAGTATCAAGCCTAAATCAACAATGGCATTGGCGTAAGTGACAAATTTACTCGGGGGCAGACTTACCAGCAGGGGCCATATTCACACCTTCTCTTATACCAGTTTTTTTTTGTTTTTCTAAATAGAAGCTTTCTGTAGGTTCTGAGGTAGAACGAATTACAAGGTACCATCTTCAAAGATCTTTAGCTGCCTTAGGAAGCATTTTAGGGCTAGGTGAATTGGGCTCAATTGTTTAAAATCATCTGATGAACCTCCGATCTTTGTTTGTCAGGAATCAGGAAAGTTTTTGAACACCCTGTTTATATAATTAATGTAAATGACTCAATTGTTCAAGTGGATAATCGTTCAAAATTTTCAAAACTTTCAAAATTTCGAATTATCAGTTGACCATCAGCAAAAAGTATTGTTTGTTATCTATAAGTATCTATAAGTATTGTTTGTGATCTATAGTAATTGATTTATATACACCCCTTCATTTTATTAAAATGATGCTATCAATATCTTCTTCTATACCTGTTAAATTAGAATAATTCGTTACCGTTCATTATTTCAAAGATTTTCGTAACATGAAATAATTGTCTAGTACGTTGTCGTTCAATCGTTTTTGTAGTCTTCCTATTGGGGAACATGGCAACCACTCTTTGTGAACGCATTGTAAAATTTGAATACAGCATAACTGGCTATATTTTTATGTGTTATTCACACCAAATTTAATATTACCGAAGAATTGTGTTTACTGATTCCAATACAAATGCAATCTCCATTTTTGTTCAAAATTTTCAAAACTTTCAAAATTTTGGATTACCTGTTGACCATCGGCAAAAAGTATTTTTTGTTTTGGTGTATATTGATTAATTTATATACACCTCTTTGTATTGTTGGAACCCACTATCATACTATCAATATATTCTTCTTCGTCACCAGCCATATTAGAACTATTCGTTAGCGATCATTATTTTAAAGTCTCCGATCTTCGTACCATGGAATAATTGTCCTGCATTTGGTATTTGAGTCTTATTTCATTCTCATTTACAATAATTTTGTTGTTATTATCAACCAGTACAGAGAGAACCCGTTTTTTAAATATGTGGCTATTTTTTTACTTTTTTGTGCACATTAATTATTTTTGTGCACATTAAATAAGTTAGTAATAAGTATTAACATAATGCCCATTTTATCGCCCCTTTCTCTCATTTCATCTTAGGTTATTTATTAATTTTAAGATGTTTCTGTTATCAATTGACTGTCCTTTGTTAAGTTATTTCTGTGATCGTTGCTTGTGTAGATTTCGTTAAATTGGTTTTTAATTTCGTTCCGTATTTCTTCTGGATCTTTTATTTTTAAATTCTTGTTTAATGTTATCATTTGTGCCTATATCGTCGTTATTTCTGGATTTGTTTTAACCTGTTCGTTTCCACCTTGGTTTTAACCAATCACTTTGCCTTCTGTTTTTCTATGCCCATTACCATTTGTTGATTTATTTGCCGACGGCGTCGATTCCTGGGCAAAAAAGGGGTGCCCTGGCTATCTCTGGCTACCCTTATTTAATTAAGCCTGCAGGTTAGCCTGCAAGAGAACTCAATAATATTGAAATAATAGGCAATAGATAGCAGACGTTTTTGCTCAATATTTGGTGACTATATAATGGTCTTAATATCACCACTGTTAACAGGTAACAAGGTAATGAAAATATGGCATTTCCTAACCCTAGACTGTCACGTGTCTTAAAACTTAACTTGTCCTGATTTCCTTAATATTCTAATTGGTTTGTGTTTAATTTCTTGTTCACAATGTGTATATATCAGATTAAAATAAATTAGTGTTACACTTCTATTTTTACACGTGTTTGTTTTTTTCAGATTGTTCTCACCTTTGTCGCCTTGGTAGCTTCCGCGTCTGCTGACCGATTAGGCTTAGGATTAGGGTTAGGTTTGGGATGGGGAAACCCAGGCCTCATCCATGCTCGTGCTCTTAGCCCAATCGGTCCCTCAGGTATCGTAACTGGAGCCGGTGCTGCCGGTCCTTCTGGAATCGTAACCGGAGCTGGAGCTGCTGGTCCTGCTGGAATAGTCAACGGACGTGGCGCTGTCGGCCCAACTGGTCCCAATCTAGGTGGTATCTTAGGTGGTCCTGCTGCCTTAGGTTTGAGATTGGGCGTCGCTGGCATCGGTCTTAGACCAATTGGACCTGCTGGAATCGTAACTGGAGCTGGTGCTGCTGGTCCCTCCGGAATCGTTACTGGAGCTGGAGCCGCTGGGCCTGCTGGAATTGTCACTGGACGTGGAGCTGTTGGCCCAAGCGGACCTAATGTTGCTGGAGTCTGGGGAGCTCCCGCTTTAGCTTTAAGAGGATGGGGAGCTGGACCATGGGGCCACTAATGGAAAAATTTAATAACAAAATTGTTATGTTTATATAAAATGAAGTGATATAAAAACTATAATACATATTTATCTATATAATTTGTACTTTTTTACTTTTTTTGCATTCTTTTTGACAATATATTTTTAGCATTTTTGAAATATTTAAGAAACTTTGACATATTGGAATAATAAAGATATTATGAAAAATACTTTTAAAAAATAGCATAAAAAGTCCGTTTTTTAGACTGAACATTGTCTTTGCTGTATACTTTTGATATATTTTAACAAAGCTATGTGACATTAGCTAAAGATAGATTACAAGGTTGCCAATCTAACTTTTGAAGCTGCTGGTCAAAAAAGGATTTTTTTGAGCTGCAAGTACACAATTCTGTTAGATTCTTTAGCCAAAATATTCGTATTCTTCCGAAGCTCCCCTGCCCTCTATTTTTCCTTGGATTATGAACCAAAAGGTGTATTTTTCTCCACACATAATAACAGGTGATCTTTTGTTTTATTGTTATTTCAACTTCATTTTCTTTCTTCATTTTTCTTAATACTTTAAATTTAGTAACGGTATTTGCTCAAAAGACCTTCAGAATGTTTCTTAGACATTCAAGGGGAGTGGTCATCTTAGGTGGAGGTTATTTGAACTGGTCACCGAGATCGTGCCAAATTGTTAGACTCTTTCTGGTGTGGTTTTCTTAAGTTGGAGCTCTATGCGAAGAAGCTACAAACTACAGCGGCTTTCAAAGCCAACATCATATCGATCAAATTTAGTCTGATTTATGCACCAGAGTTCATAGATTATGAAAAATTGGATATTTTGGATGCGCGACATCCGGTAAAGCCGATACGGACATTTGTACGATGTTATATGTACATCATAGGATCGACAGGCCATTAAAACAGTTGAAAATTTTCGATGGTGTCTTAGATGTACATGGTTTTATTTAAATACGATAATCATCATCATCATTCTGGCTTTACAACCATCCCTGGATCCTAGTTTCCTTAAGAATTTCTCTCTAGTCGTCCCTATCCATCGTCTTTCTCCGTCAAGCACGTATTGCCATGTTTCTTATATCTTCATCGATGTTATCAAGGACCTTGGTCTAGGTATTCCTCTTCTTCTCTGACAAATAGATGTATCAAGGAGCATTTGTCTAGCTGGGTTTTTTTTGTTCCATCCGCATTACATTCCCTATCTACCTCAAACGTCCTATCTTAATATGTTTTACGATATCAGGTGCCTGGTATATTCTATAAAGTTCGAAGTTGTATCGTCTTTTCTACACCATGTTATCATTCACTGATCCATAAATTCGCTTTAGTACTTTTCTTTCGAAACATCCTAACATCCATTCATTATTTTTTGCTAGATTCCAGATCTCTAAACCGTATGTTAGGACTTGGCGTATTATTGTTTTGTAGAGTTTTATTTTTGTATTTCTAGATATAATTGTAGATTAAAGGAAAAGATTCAGCCCAAAATAGCATTTGTTGACCGTGCAAATTCTGCGGTTTATCTATGCGATAGTATTATTTTCAGTGTTAAGGAGAGCCCCCAGGTATACGAATTCGTTCACTGCTTCGATGACGTCGATTTCTATAACAAGTGGTCGTAGTATTTGTGGTTGCTTGCTTATTTTTATATACTTTGTTTTGTTGGTGTTTATTATTAAACCCCCTTTTGTAGCTGATTCTTTTAATGCTGCATACGCCTCTCGTACATCGTTTTCCGTTCTCTCAACAATATTGCATGATACAAATACAAACAGATAAGATACCGTGCATGTAGGCGTGGCTTATGCATGACTTATGTGACGTCAGCTTGTGCTAAATTTCGCCTTATTGTGTTTTGATGTTTATGTACATTTACGGTCCATAGCCAATATTTAGTAAAAAAATATTTTGAAAGTGTTAAAGGCTTTAAATTTTTCGCCATATGAGGTGTGCAATGTACGGTTGTGTCGTACAGCGTTTTATAGCTTTCCAAAAGACAAGGAAATGTAAGCTGTTTGGAAACATTTGTGTAAACACCAGGATAGTTTTAATGTTAAATTTGCTCGTGTTTGCTCTAAGCACTTTATTGAAAGTGATCGATACGATCGAACGAACCGGCAACTTAAAAGACAACAAAAAAGACTTGTGGATGATTTATTAAATAGATACGTGATATTTATTATATTGAAGTGGTAAATAATTATGTCTAATGATTTCATTACTAAATATTTGTTTTTGTAGAATGGAACTTTGTAGCAATAGTGGAAACAGTTTTGATGATGGTGCGAAGGCTGGTGCTTCTTGTTTTATCCCCGAAGATGCTGTTTTGGAAGAATTACCTACTCGTCGAAGTATTGGGTTAGTTTGTAGTTAAAAATACCTAACTAGCGCAGATCATACATTATCTTAACTAGGCTGTGTTTTTAATGCCTAGAATATGTGGTCCTGTATACTTAAACTCTGAGTTTTTTTGAGTGTTAATACTGAAGAAGATAATCGGGACAAAATAATACTTGGCCTTCAAAAAAGATTGCATTTTTGGAAAAGCGCAAAGAACTTATTGAAAATATTTTTAGTGAGGAGCACCTAAAAAAATTAGAAAATTCAAAAACTCGCCTTAAATGGAAAGTTGAGGACATATCTAAATCAATAGGTATCTATTCTGCCGGTCCAAAAGCATATAGGATAGTTCATTATTAAAATGCAAACACAGATTGCTTAAAAAAAGGATACTCGTAAGTTCAGTTAAGTAAAAAAAAAGAGTTTTACTTATCCTGCCCTATTAATGACTGCAACCTCAAAATCAAACTTTAGTTTACATAAGCATTCCATTCGGATGGCTCCTCCTTCAAACTTTACTCTCATGGAAACGTGTTATTTTCTACAATATACTAGTTTAAATACTTAACTTAAATTCACATAGTAAATAAAACATCTATTAAATTATATTAGAATTTCAACAGTGCGTTTCATCCGCAAGCATGGATACATTTTGAAAATTTATCACAAGGTGACGTCATGCGTGAGATGTACGAGTTTAGTGCGTGGCAATATCATATCTTGTATCCTTATATCATGACAATATTGATATCATCAGCATAGGCCAGGATTTGAACTGATTTATTATATATTGAACCAGTGGTTGTAATTTGTGACATACGTATTACTTGTTTCTGAGCCAAATTGAACAGTATTCAGGAGAGAGTGTCTCCCTAGCGCAGCCCGTAATTTGTTTTAAAAGGTTCAGACAGTTCCCCCTGAATTCGTACTCTCACTTTTTACGTACATTCAACTTTTTCAAGAATTAGTTTTGTTAAATTTACCATCTGATTTGGTATTCCTAGCTCTTTTATTGCTTTGAACATATCTTTTCTACTCACAGAGTCGTAGGTTGCTTCGTAGTCTATAAATATGTGATGAATATTAATGCCATATTACCTTATTATTATAGTGTTTTTTCCAAAATTTGTTTCAGGGTTGCAATCTGATGAATTATCGATTTAATACCTCTGAAACCAGCCTGGTATTTTCCTACTATACGTTCTGTATATGGTGTCATACGATGACATAGTATTGTGTAATAGTATATTACATAACGAGAGTTGTAAGAAGCTTATTACATGCGAGTAAAAAAGTTGCGCGCGAGCGCAGTAATTTTACAAGCATGTAATAAGCTTACAACTCAAGTTGTGTACTATACTTTTTCTACCATTATTTTCGTTTATAAAAATAAAAATTAAATTACCACTATATTTACACTGACAGATTAATAATTTTTAATCTGTCAAAATAACGTCTGTTAATTCGTTTCCATGGTAACTCGACCAACTGACTTACAAGGCTTATGTGATATTACACATTTTTATAAAACTGAAGCGTAATTTTTTTTATTACGTGCTAGTCATTACGTGTCAGTATCTGTTATGATGCATTTACTTAGCATCCAAATAGTAGGTAATATACAATTTACTAGTAAGGGAGTAGAAAAAATATTTTATACATTAAGCAGCGTAATTCCTCTGTGATTAGAGCATTCAAAGATATCTCCTTTTTTGTGTATGGTACAAATTATTCCAATATTCCGATCATCGAGGGGGGGTTGTGTCCATATTTCTTTTATGAGCTGCTGTAATGTCAATATGGTATCATGACCACCTTCTTTATATAGTTCAGCTGCGAGATTATCTATTCCGGGTGATTTGTTTTTGGCTAGTTTTTTAACTGCATCTTTAATTTCAAGAATCGTTAGTGGTGCCCCTTCCCTATCGTCTACTTCCCTTATCTAATCTCTTTCGTCTCCAAGGGTTTCTTTTTCTTCCTCTATATTAAGTGCCTGGTTAAAGTATTCCACCCATCTACTCAATACATCTTTCCTTATTGTTCATAGGTCGCTATTCTGACTTCTACATTTTCTTGTGATTGCCTTGAATTATATTATGTTGATGTTAACTTTTTTTTGAAATGCTCTGAATTTTTTCTTTCTGTTGGGATTTTATATTTATTTAAGTTCCTTATTTAGGTGGTTTTTTTTCTTTGTGTATATTCTTTTTTTCTCTTCTCTTTGTCTGGTAATTCTCTACAGTTGTTCTAAACCGTCGAGTAAGCATCTTTCTGTAGGCTTCTTTTTTTTCTTTTGTTATATTTTATGCATTCATCGTCAAACCAATGATTTCTACGTTCACAAATTTCTGTTTCTATTTCCTCTTTCGCTGCTGCTTCAATATCTTCCTTTATTCTGGTCCTAAGAAAAACAACTAAAAATAAAGAGATTGTGTGCCCAGAATAAGAAAATTTATAAAACAACATGAAAATTACTTGACGTCTCCTATTCTAAACAAATTTACAAATTTTTTAGAGGTGAAAACTAGCCTTATTAGAAAAAATGTATAATTTAAAATTAAAGCAATTAATTGATTCAAATCATCTTTTATTGGAGGGAATGAATGTCAATAAACATTAATTACTTAAATTAATAACATTAAACAACATAATTTAAGATTTTAGTACAGTTTTAA